ACATTCTATTCTGCACATGGTTCATCCCTTTCTGGATCAGAAGTTCAAGATCATGGTAAGTTATATCAGGTATTAGGAATGCTGAAATGTGTGAGCTGTCTGTGTGTGTGGCCATCTGTGTTTGTGTGTGTGTGTGTGTGTGTGTGTGTATAAAATGCTCCAACAATACCATGTTCTTCCAACAGGAAACTTGGTTCAATCACAAGCCTTGAGTTTGCTTTTGTATTGCTGACCAGACTGCCTGGTGTCTTTTGATTGAGATGTGGGCTCAGTTAATGGAACGCTTTTCAAGAATGCTTACTTGTATCCTCTGAGTACATCAAAGTTTTCCTCTGTCTGTAGCCCTGAGCCAGGAACAGCATCCAGAGCAATAATAGCACAAATGCCAGTTCTCCTCTGGTCAGTCCTGGAGGATGGTCAATCACTCTTAGACTCATCCTGTCTAGGGTGCTGTTCTTGGACAGACAAGGTGATGGGACACACCCTCACATAAACCGTGTGAGACTTGGTCTCTACAGAGTGGTCTTGCTCTGAGATGCAGAGGGGGATCCTTCTACTTACACCATCTCCTCTGTAAGAATTCTTGAAACCTCCCCTCCCACAGCAGGCTGCCAGGTCTCTCTGCCAGCTTCTTTAGTCCTAGCAGAAGTAGGAAGCGTCAAGACTCCATTTCTCACTCGCAGGTCTTGGTTTGTTCTTAGAGTTTTCATAGGTATGCCTCTCACCTTCCAAATTAAATCACACAGAAAGTCAGCAGAGGGAATCCTTCAGATGTGATTGGGAGCCATTCCTGCTTTGGCTTTTGCCAACAAGGGAAGGTTACACACATGGTATAGAGAGGGCATTGGATGGGACAGGTCAGGCAGGGCAGAGATGGAAGGGCCCACTTTAGCACCGTGAGTTCTCAAAGCCCTTAGAGTCAGTGCAACCCATTTCTCAGCCTCAGATGTGGAAATCATTTCAAGATGCCTGCAGTTGGTTCTGTGGTTCCCTCTCAGAAGACACACTCACATTCATATCTCCAGAAGCAGCAGATGTGACCTTATTTGAATAAAGCGTCTCTGCAGATGTGGCGAAGCTGAAGGCTGCCTGCAGTTGGTTCTGTGGTTCCCTCTCAGAAGACACACTCACATTCAAATCTCCAGAAGCAGCAGATGTGACCTTATTTGAATAAAGTGTCTCTGCAGATGTGGCGAAGCTGAAGGTTTTGAGATGAGCCCATCTCAGACCCCATGGGTGGGTCCTAAATGCAGCATGTGTCTTCATAAGATGACACAGGAGAAAGCTGTGTGTATCAGTCAGTTCTCTGAAGGAGCAAGCCTGATAGATTGGGTGTGTGCATGCACACAGACAGACCAGACAGACACACACACACACACACACACACACACACATACACGCAGGCATTTATTGGAGAGGCTTACAGGCTGCGGTCTGAGCAGTTCAACAATAGCTGTCGCCAATACAAGGGCTAAAGAATGAGTTGTTCTGTTCATGACACTGCATGTCTCAGCAGTCCCAGATGAGTGCTGGAGTCACAGGGAGGTCCTAGAGAGCTGCCAGTTTCCAGTCCATGTTGGAATCCCTAAGAAGTTTGTTCTAACCCCAGCAAAGGCATGGCTCAGCAGGATCGATGGCCTTGCCAGTGAGAATGAGGGCAATCCAGCAAACAGCAAAAACTTTTACTTCTTGCATGTCCTTTTATGTGGGCTGCCACAAGAAGGTGTGGCCCGGATTTTAGGTGGGTCTTATGACCTCAGAGGATTCAGATTTAGGGTGGGCCTCCCGTCTCAAATGATCCAAACAAGAAAAATCCCTCACAGGGGTGCCCAGAAGCTTGGAATTTAGTTAATTCCAGATGTAGTCTACAACTACGATTAGCCAGCTATCTTACCATATGACAGTAGAGACAGAGACCAGAGTGATGTCACAAGCCACAGCTGCTGAGGTATGCATCAGAAGCCAGAGGAGACAAGAAAAGATCCTACCCAGAGTATTTAGAGGAAGCATGGCCTGTTGCCAACTTGCTTCTGGGCTGTTTTGGCTTCCAAAATGGTATTAAAAACATTCCTGGACTTTTGGTTGTGTTTTGTGTATCAATACACGTTTATGTATGTGCACATTTGTGCAAGTGCATGCATATGTGGTGTGCACACATATGAAGGCCAGAGGTTGGTGTTGGGTATCTTTCTCCACTGAACCTAGAACTCAACAACTGTCAGTCTGGCTGGCCCAGGAGTCCCTGGAATAATCCCTCCTTTGATGGGATTGCAGGGTTATGTTAACATATCTGGCTTTTACATGGGTGCTGTGGTTGGAACTCAGGTCCTCATGCACACATGAAAAATCACTTTACTGACTCCTATAACGAGCCATTTCCCCAGCCATACTCCTCCATTGTGTGGCCATCCTCTTGACAGGGGGCCTCTTTATCGGGATGCCACTTTGGTTTCCATGAAGTGTTGAGGTGGAGAGGGACCCTGAGACTCCACACACTGTAATGGGGAGGGTGGAGGTGGCTGTGAACTAAGCCTGTGCTGGGAGCTCTAGGCATTGGAAGAGAAATGTGACCACAGTGACTGGAATGCTTCATGTCAGTGATTTTATGTTGGGTTCAGCGTGACATGGTCAAGTTCTGTCATCTGTGATGGTCTTGCAGGAAAAAGACACATGCTATCCAAGTGTCATGTCACATGTCACCAATGTGTCAGTGGTCCTGAAATGCCTGTGGGGGCAGCTGTCACCAACCTCATCTTCCTGGATCTCCAAGAAGCCGCCATTGCATCTAGGTGGGAGACTCCTCACCGACTGCGCAGGTGCCCCAAAGGCTCAAGTGCAGGGGTCCTGGGTTTCCATGATGAAACTGTGTTGGGAATAACGTGACAGGATTAGGCAAAGCAGTTTTGCCAACAGGAAAGATCCTCAGACAACATTCCAGAAAAGAATTTCTAGGTCCAGGTCTCTAGGTGGCTAATGGAGCAAGGACTGCCTGGTGCAAGGTCCATTTGTCCTGATCCACTTAGACTTCTGAGTGTTTTTCAGGGAACACAACCAGGTCACCAATAACTCTGCCATTAACATGTCAGAAGTCCTGAAATACCCTTGAGGGACAGCTGTCTCCCAGGCTCTGGACTGTCAACACGGCTGCTCTTTAAGTTTCAACTCTGTCATGTAAAAAAAAAAAAAAAAAAAAAAAAAAAAAAAAAAAAACCAAAAACAAACTTTGGCATTTGCAAAGTTCAGCAGCTTCAAAAAAAAAAACAAAAAAAAAAAACTTTGGCATTTGCAAAGTTCAGCAGCTCCCATCACAGGCCACATAGGCAACTTGAACTTATGCTATTTAGATGCGGCTGTGTGTATAGGCCAGAACTTGACATTCGGCATCTTCCTTTATTTTGGACACAGGGTCTGTCACTGAGCCTGGAACTTACTGATTTGATTAGACTAGCTGTCAAGCAAGGCCCCATTGCTCCTGATTCCTCCCCGGAGTGGGATTACAGCTGTACTCCAATATGTCTGGTTTTTAACAAAGGTACCGAGGAATCCAGACTCAGGTCCCCAGGCTTGTGTGGGAAGCACCTTACCTATTAGTCCAGTCATTCAGCTGTCCCTCCAGCCCCAGAATGGGACTTTTAAAGGAGCTCTCTGACTACTTGAAAGGATGTCACAGCCACAGACTGGAAGATCCACGGTCTTTGAGAAAAACAAATAAAAAAAAAATAAATGCTTGTCATACATGCTTAGTGGAAATAAACCCGGATGTCACAGCCACAGACTGGAAGATCCACGGTCTTTGAGAAAAACAAACAAACAAAAAATGCTTGTCATACATGCTTAGTGGAAATAAACCCGAAAGAACCCTTGTACAGTCATCCTGGGCTTGCCATTAGTTTGTTATGTGACCTATGCCCTAGATAAGGTATCAGCCAATCTGCCCTCTGAAAATTACGAGGCCCCGCAGTAGCTATCTGCAGAGAAGACTTTTGTGTCCACATAAGAGGATTTTGTGGGTCACTTTTATTAGCCGGTTTTCTCTCCTCTCACCTGCAGCTGAGCGTGGCTTCTTGGGATCTTCAAAGACAGGAAGGAGCTCAAGTAGAGAATGAGGCAGTTCTTCCCGGCAGCGCTGTTCTATTTACAACCTGCTTATTGCACTGTGGCAGCTGCCACCATCAGGGAGGCCAGGGAGGTTTCCTTAAGGGCTTGTCCAGCTATCTGAGTCACATGACTGGGGCCCTTTTCCCTTGCTCCCTGGCACAGTCAGCGCTAGTGTCTCTTCAGCCTGCAGGTTGTGAGGCTGCTGCCCCGAGAAAGCAAGCATTCCTGTGAGGAAGAAAGGAGGCTTTGAGGACTCACCTGCCACAATGACGGACAGAAGCCCCTTTGAGACAGACATGCTCACTCTGACCCGCTACGTTATGGAAAAAGGGCGGCAAGCCAAAGGGACTGGGGAGCTCACACAGCTGCTCAACTCGATGCTGACTGCCATCAAAGCCATCTCCTCCGCTGTGCGCAAGGCAGGCCTGGCCAACCTGTGAGTCCCGGAGAGCATGCGCAGGCACACACACACAGCTGCCCAGAGCCCCAGACCCAGGCCAGGGTGTGGGAGCCACAGGTGCTTGCGGTAGAAACTGCGTCCAAAATTAATTTGTCTTTTGTGCCCCAAGGATGTTGCATTTAAATCCTTTGTGTCTCTTTTGATAAGGCAGCCTTTGGGCATATTTTGCCAGGAAAGGGGCAGGGGTGGGTGGAACCACACAGTGGCAAGCTATGGAGAAAAGTGAGATTTTTTTTCCTGTTACCATTTATTATAATGGTAACACAGTGGCTTGTTGCCTCAAAACCTACATTGAATTCTCATGACTTATATTTGCATGGACAGATTCTTACTGAGACTTTAAAACGTGTTTGATGTCATTTTCCTGTACAAGTGTTTGGTTGTCATGACCTCAGCCGGTAGGGTGCGGGGGTCGGTGGTTAGAAACCACAAATTTACCGGCCCCTGGCTATCATGGAAGGAGCCAGTTTTCTTCATCTTCACTTGGTGTGTGGGAACGGACATGCTGGTCGGGGGCGGGCAGAGCGGAGCCATTGGTTGTCTTTTGCAGAATGAGGCCATGCTCACGCTGGAGCTGCTCGTGGCCACAGCCAGGGGTCTAGTTTTAAGGCCTGATGGAAAGAAATCACCTTCCTTCAGCCTTCCATGATTGTAGTAATTCCAGTGAAGGCCCTCTTGGAAGTTGAAGGGGCCTACATAATTTTTCGGGGGGTGGTGTGGATGCGTGGGAAACCCCCCAAAAGAAGAGCCAACAAATTCCACCTCTTTGAATATTTATTCTTAACTGTGTGGTACCTTTAACCCCAAACTGTGACAACATTACTATCATAAATTCCACCATAAAACCATTAAAGGGCTTATTTTATGAGTGTTAAGGGCTAGTGGTGGGATCCACAATGAAGATGTTTGTCTACTCCTCCTGCCATGGATTTCCTTAACTGTATTATTACCTCATTTGGCAGAATGGCCAAGCTCTGCCTTTAAGAACATGCTTCCAGAATGTGAGGGGCCCCCATATGTGGCGATCACCCCTGAGTGACATTAGATAGCATCATAGCTCTGCTATAATTAGGATGGTTGCCTGTGACCAGCCAGGACTTTTGCCCACACTTGTACCTCTCCTGTGTGTAGGCAGACCTCTCAGCTCCACAGCTGCTGTCTTGGCAGGGCTCTTATATATCTGCTGCGACCTGCTTCTCAGTAATTCAGTGTCTGACTAAGGGGTCTTAGGGACTAGATAGTTAAGTGCCTTATTTAACTTGGTTTTCTTTACCTTGTGGCTGTGGACAATGGTTTATTCTTGCTAAGACTTCCATGTTGTGAACTGAAGAGGATCTAATTGCTCTAACTCACAGGGTTGTAGTAAGGGTTAGTAAGTTATTGTGATGACAGTGCCAGGCCTGTGATAAATACTCAAGGAATGCCCCCACTTAACTACCGTGGCTCCAAGACCAGACTGGAAGAAATTGAAGACTGGCCTATGTGATTATTGACCACTAGGTGGCAGGCAGCACCCTAGATATGGTGTCAGACTGGGCCCTAGGCCTCTGGACCCCCTCACGCAGAGAGCAGCCACAGCTGATGAGACAGGGACTGCAGGTGTCCTGGCACTGTCCCATGCAGGTGTGTCCAGCCTGTGGGTGTTGTGACAGCTCACTGTGGTTTGCAGATGTGTTGTGCAGCTTTCATAGCTATCCTGGGATGCACTGACCTGTGGGCTGCAGGCTGGAAATCTGCCCAGCTCTTCATTTTCCAGCAGCAGCTGCCTCAAGACTCATTATTAAACAGGCGGCTTTGATCCTGATGCAAAATAACACAACTTCATCGTTACTGTTGTTACTGGCTTGCAGGGTTGTTTCCCGAGGCTCATCATGCTCCATACGTGAAATTGTGGGTGGGCTGAAGTCAGTCAGGAAGGAGAGGGGATACATTTGCCATAGATAGGGTCCATCAGCGGTTCTCAACTCCAACCACCTGTTCACATCACCCGAGGCTTTTGCCATCCTTTCTCCATAGTGCAGCAAACATCTATTGTACACAGACTATGGAAAGGCAGATATCAAGACGTGGCTCTTGCCCTTAGCAAGCAGGTGATACAGAAGGAAGTCTTCTACAACCGGTCCATGCAGCACCCTGAGGGAGGGTGCCACAGAGGTGTGCCTGGACACGGAGGGTTCTTGAGGAGCTTAGGAAGATGAGCAGCAAGAATCACACTTTGGGGATGGCAAGCGCAGAGGAAAGGAGGGAGCAGCTGCCTGGGGTGGCGCAGGGCAGACCAAACAGCAGGGTGTCGTCTATGCTGGTGGAATTGGAGCAGCCGGACAGGACTGACAGCCTCACTGCTGAGGGGGAGGTGGAGATACTGAGGCTGTTCTAACAGGACGGCCTAACGGTGTCTCACATCCATGTAAGAACCTGGCTTTGAGTGGGGGTTAGTTAGCCCCCTGCTGTGACAAACACCACAAGCAAAAGCAACTTGGAGGAGGAGAGGGTTTATCTCATCTTACAGCATGTGGTAACTCAAGGAGAAACCCCAGAGGAATGCTGTTTACTGGCTTGCTCTCTGTGGCTTGCTCGGCCCGTTTTTTTTTTTTTTTTTTATAGAATCCTGTTGAGGGGCGACACCACACACAGTTGGCTGGGCCTTCCTACACCAGTCAGTCATAAAGAAAATGCCTAGTGGACATTAGCAGAGGCCAACCTCATGAAGATAATTCCTGAGCTGAGGTTCCTTCTTCCTAGGTGATTCTGGTTTGTTTCAAATTTACAAAATTAAAGTAGTGCAGAGTGAGGTAAGGTTGAGTCTATGGGGAACACCCTGAAGGGTTGAGGCATGAGAAGGGGATGGTGGTATATTACTGCTCTAAAGCCACGTCTCTGTGGGTATTTAAAGCTGACATGCCAGTGTAGAAAAGCTATCCTGTTATCATTATGTGTCTGATTTAGGGACTCTCCTACTGTCTCTGGCTGCAAGTGCCAAGCAGGGGTCTGCATTTTAGTGGGGCTGAATCTGGCCAATCTTCCTGGGAGACCAAGGAAATATGGCAATGTCCCCGAGGTGTAAAAGAAGCAGTGTTGAGTGGCACTTCTTCGAGTTATAGCACACTCCCTATATATGGCAGTTGGCATGGAAGGAGGGTGGGTGTGCTGTTGGTTTGGGATCTGATATGGACATTTTTTTAAAGTTGCTTATCCCTCCATTTAATTGTTCCATTTTAAAATCATGCATTGCATAATTATACAGAGACCTAACTCTCTCCATTGTAATACCATTTCCCGTTCCCCCCTTTCATTCTTTACTGGAGTTAAGACTCCTTCAATGACCTAATCCACCCTGTCTCCTTAGGTACGGAATTGCAGGAAGCGTGAATGTGACAGGAGATGAGGTGAAGAAATTGGACGTGCTATCCAATTCCCTGGTCATCAACATGCTCCAGTCCTCCTACAGCACCTGTGTCCTAGTCTCTGAAGAGAATAAAGAAGCAGTTATCACAGCCAAAGAGAAGAGGGTGTGTCCAGGGTGGGCTGCAGTGCCCCATATATCCGTAGACGATGCTACCGGGCTGAGAGACCTGTTTTCTTGCTTAGTCTTTCTTCTATTTTCTTCTATTTTGGGACATTTGTTTTCTGGAAACAGGGTTTCTCAGTTCTTTAGTTGGAAATCTTGTGTGCTCTCATACCCTTTGGGGTTTGTGTCATCTAGTGCATCATTAAACAGGCCTTGGCCCCTTTGTCTTCTTTTGGGGAGGAGCTATAAAATGCACTCTCTGATTGAGTCCCTCTCTATTTCTTATTTATTTATTTATTTTGGTTTTTCGAGACAGGGTTGCTCTGTGGCTTTCGAGGCTGTTCTGAAGTAGCTCTTGTAGACCAGGCTGGTCTCGAACTCACAGAGATCCACCTGCCTCTGCCTCCTGAGTGCTAGGATTAAAGGCGTGCGCCACCACCATCCGGCCCCTCTCTGTTTCCTATCTAGGCCTTCACTACATATGTTCTCAAGAGGACTGTGATTCCTTGGAGGAGGTGGATCTTCTCCAACATAACAAAATAGACCAGTCCAGGGAACAATTCATGATGAGCCTATGCTCTTGGCAGAGTTAGCCAGTGCATGGAGAGGGTTTACATTCACAGAATGTAAACACAATAATTTATTAAAGAGTGACATCTTCTCACGGCCAACAATTCAACCAACATTTGATCACAGCAACATTCTGGTTGTTTTTTGTCAACTTGACCCAAACTAGAGTCACCTGGGAAGAGGGAGCCAGAGTTGAGGAACTACCTCCATCAGACTGGCTCATGGGCAAGTCTGTGAACATTTTCTTAATCTATTGTTGATGTGAGAGGGCCCAGCCTATCATGGGCTGTTCCATCTCTGGGAAGGTGGTCCAGGATTACATATGAAATCAGGCTGAGCATGCCATGGAGACTGCAAGCCAATAAGTAGCACTCCTCCTTGATTCTGCTTCAGTTTCTGCCTTGGGCTCCTGCCTGGGCTTCCTATGAAGGAAGGTAACACTGTTACCTTGGAGGTGTACATTAAAATGGTTTGGACAGAGTGTTTTTATCACAGCAAAAGAGAAGCAAAAAGGATTGTGTTCCATGCTGACCTACTGGTCCTTGTCACACACATTGGGAATTGGGCTGGGGAGGGGTAGTGATTTCTTTGTAATTGGAAGATGACCCGGAAAGATAGGGTAAAATCAAATCTATTAAGCCCCTTAACCCCGTTTGACACAACCCACTGGACATCTGTTATCTTCAGCTTTAAATTTCAACTAGTATGGCCCTCACCCCTCTCCACCGTTATCTGTCACTCCTGCATATTAGTTCTTGGATGTCTTCTAGCCTAACTTTCTATGTCTATGCTAGGAACACTAGAAAGCCTGCCTGCCTGCCTGTCATCCTTCTATCTAACTCTCTGTGTGCCTGCTTTCCGTAGTTCCAGCCAGGTGCATTATCAAATGTTAACTTTGCCCACATTCTACCCACTCACCTGCTTAGGGTATATGTACAGCCCTTGTCATACCCTATGAGCATGTTTGCCTGTGTATTGTGTTTTTGAGTTTGAACATCAATCCAAACACCTGAGCCTTCAGCAAGTGATCCCTAGTGTCTTTTTCAGCATACACCAGACACATAGCAGATGCCTGTTGAGCAATGGCTTTGGGGGACTTTGGAGTGGGAGGCCCATGGACCTGAATCTCTTGTTAGTGTAGACATCAGTCAAATGAAGCTCTAATAGAGAGCAGTTGTGGCAATGGCCAGGAGTGCTGACTGGGTGTTTTTCTCTGTGATTTAGGGGAAATATGTGGTTTGCTTTGACCCTCTGGATGGATCTTCGAACATTGACTGCCTGGCCTCCATTGGAACTATATTTGCTATCTACAGAAAGGTGAGTAGATAAGCTGACATCTTTCCAGATGGTTCCTAGACTGGCCTATCTTTTCCTCTACTCACTAGACACAACACTATGGGCAACTCCAGAAACACAACAAACCCTGCCTTGGGTTTTCCACTGGAAATCTCAATCTACCTTTTCCTAACATCTCCTGGGAGGGCAAAGTGGCATGACTCCCAAGGGACCTTGTTTTGATTGTCTGGATGAACAGAGATGTCAGGCACTGCATAAACTGAATATCCTTTATCTAAAATGCAGGGGGCCAGAAATACTGGGGTTTTAGATTTTGGAATATTTGCAAATACATAATGAGTTGTTTTAGGGATGAACACAAGACTCATTTGTGTTTCTTATGTTTCTATGAGTCATCACCTGCGTGTAGCTTTGTACAATACATGTTTTAGTGCACCTGCAATTTGACTCTGGCCCACAACACCAGTACAGGTATAGAATTTGCCTTGCATGGCCTCATGTTGGCATTTTAAAAGTTCCAGATTTTAAAAGACCTTATTTATTTTTTTTCCATTTCTAAATCTTATGTGGATTGGTGTTTTGCCAGAATGCATGTCTGTGTGAGGGTGCTGGGTTCCCTGGAATTGGAGTTACAGGTGGTTGTGAGCTACCATGTGGGTGCTAGGAATTGAACATGGGTACTGGGGAAGAACAGTTGGTGCTCTTAACCACTGAGCAATCTCTCTAGCATTTGTTTATTTAGCATGATTTGGTAAATAGTTCTCGCTAGCCTTGAACTTTCGATATTCTTGCCTTGTGCCCCTGAATGCTGGGATTATAGGCATATGCCCCATGAGCAATTGAGTAGGGACATTCAACATTCATTAGGGACACACATCCTCTACTTCTTGGTGAGTCTCAACGCTTACTGTCAGTTTTCTGTTGCTGTTGTGGTAATTAATCATCCTCTTGGTGGCTTAAAACACCTGTTGATTATCTGTTACTAAATCAGAGGCTTGGCAGTGTTATCTGCTTAGGGTGCATAGACAAGCCAGTCTGATCTCTTGAGTATCTAGAGGCCGGGAGGAGGAGTGAAGAGAATTTGCTTCTTGTTGAGCTTAGGTTAATGCCAGTTTAGGTTGATGGTGGGATTCAGATCCATTTTGTGGTAAGTTGGAGGTATTGCTCTCTTTGCTAGAGGCTCTTTCAGCTTCTAGAAACTGCCCATATTTTTTTTTTTTGGTGGGGCTTGTGACTTCTTCAGTTTCAAAGTTCACAATGGCTCCAAGGCTCTTAGAGTCTCTACAATATCCCTTTCTTACCACTGCCTCATTCTCCCCGACTCTAGCCATTGGAAGTCAAACGAGTTCAATTTTCATTTGATTAGACTGAACTAATATTATCAGGACAAACCATGGTCGTCTCCCTATTTTCAATCTATAACCCTGAAAATGACTTCCGTAGGGAGGTCTGACTTTGTTGGAGCAGGTAAGAAATGTGTCACCTGGAAGTGGGCTGCACTCCATTTGTTTGTATTCCTGTGATGGATTCTCCATACGCGCCTTGCTGGTGATCCTTCTGGATTACAAACTCCAGAAGAGGCAGGGGACAATCACGAAAGACAAGGCAAGGTGAAAGAGCTTTTCTTCTAAGAAGAAAGGAAGTGTAAGATACAGTTTGAAGAGAGACACATAGTTGTATCTTTTGGTGGCTTTCCATATTGTTTTCTTGGTCATTAATTTTCTCTGCACCACACTTTTGGTGCTTTATGTTGCTGTGATAAAACCTTGTCCAAAGCAACTTGGGGAGAAAGGGCTAATTTCACCTTACACTTTACAGTCTACCATCAAGGGAGTTTAAGATAGGAACTCACGGCAGGTAGACTATGGGGTAGCTGTGTATTGTCTCACTCCTCTGAGTTCCTCCACTAGCTTCCTCATATAACCCAGGCTCACTTGCCCAGGATGGTGCCAACCACAGTGGGCTGGGTCCTCCTCCATCAATTAGCAGTCAAGAAAACATCCCATAGATGTGCCCACATGCCAATCTGATGGAGGCAGTTCTTCAACTTTGATTCTCTCTTCCCAGATGTGTTGAGTTGACAATCACCACATCTGGGTTAGTCTTTGTCTTTTTTTTTTTTTTTTTGAGACAGGGTTTCTCTGTGTAGCTTTGGAGCCTATCCTGGCACTTGCTCTGGAGACCAGGCTGGCCTTGAACTCACAGAGATCCACCTGCCTCTGCCTCCCAAGTGCTGGGATTAAACGTGTGCACCACCAACGCCCGGCTAGTCTTTGTCTTATTCCCAGGGGGTGGGTACAGATAACGCTGCATCCTTTTGACTGAGGAACAGTGGAGGACAGAGAAGGAGAGTTAACTCAGCTGAACTCACTGAGTCAGTAATGTCAGGATGTTAATTCAAATGAGTTTTCCCAACTCCATCATTTCATCGTTTAACGACCGGAAACCAATGGTGTTGGAAATGAAGGAGTATTATAATTCATGACATATAGCCATTATGCTTGAATTTTGATGGACTGAGACACAGGGATTTTGTCTTAAATTTTAAATAAAGTACAGGCTCTGATGGCCAGTCCAAACAACCATGGTTATCCTCAAGTGATATTTCTAAAGAGAATGTGGGCTTCAAACACACCAATGAAGGTGTACTAGGGTGTCAAAGAAGATATGTTTGATTATAGCATCTGGAACACTAAATCATAAAGTCAGAATGTTAAGGCTGGATCTGAGCCTGGAGCCACAGTCAGCAGGCAAAAGTGTATTAGCTGCAAAAATCAGGACCCAAGTCTAACCCCATGGACCCACATACAAATGTCAGTTGTGGTGGAGTGAACTTGAAATCCTAGGGCTGGGGCAATGGAGACAGGCAGATCCCTAGGGCTTGCTGGCCAATCAGTGTAGCCTCATTGGTGAGCTCCAGGCAGACCTTCTCTCAAACAAGGTAGACAGCATTCATGAAGATAAACCTGAGGTTGTCCTTTGGCCTCTGCATGCCTATGTATGCACATGAGTTCCCCTGGGTCACTTACATCAAGAGTTCCATGGAGGAGTATTAGAGAGAGGAGGGGCAACAGCAGGAGAGAGCAGGGGCACAAGGGAGGAGTGAGTGTGTGTGTGTGTGTGTGTGTGTGTTTGATAAAGCATATTATGGTGGCAAGGAAATGTCATAAAGAAACCCTTTATTTTGTACAATAAATATTAATGAATTACAGATTAAGAAATCCCTAAACTTTCATACACACATATACATATGTATACAAATGTGTATATGTATATATGTATAGACACACACACACACACACACACACACACACACACACACACACACACCTTTCCCAGCCATGCACACACATACATGTGAAAAACATGTTGAGGAGGAAATATTCATAGCTTCTCAGTTTTTATCCGCCAAAATATTTCAGCATCACATGCTTCATGATGAGTGAGCTTTTCGATTACGGGCTCCAAACTCTTCATTTGTAACATGGGGATAATAGTGCTGTCTACCTTGCAGGGCTTCTTAGTAAAGATCATTGTGATGGTTAGGGACAAGGCTTGTGGCAGTTACAAAGGGGTGGCTTGAGCATCTTCCGGTGCTCTTGACAGGATGCAACCTTCAGACAGACCCAAGAACAGTCTTTTCTCTGGCTCAGTCTGAGCCAGCAACTCCCTCTGGATGCATTTGCTGCAGCTTAGCATTGCCCCAGTCAGCCTCATTTTGTCCACCATACAGCATGCCAACCACTGAAAGGAAGAAGTTTTCAAAATACATAGTTTACACATGAGGTAGCTATGTTATCTCTCTCCAGGCACAATAACACACCATATGTTTCTTCTTGTTATTTGCAGACCACAGAGGATGAGCCTTCTGAGAAGGATGCCCTGCAGCCTGGCCGCAATATAGTGGCAGCCGGCTATGCACTCTATGGCAGTGCAACCCTGGTGGCTCTTTCCACGGGGCAAGGAGTGGATCTCTTCATGCTGGACCCGGTAGGTACTGCATATGTGGCATTTGTTCCTGGGGACTCCATGGATTTCTGTGTTTGCATTCTTGTCCCTTGGGATAAGAATTTTCTGGTTATTTGAGTACTTATTTTTGGAGTTAGAGAACTATATCATGGAAAATATGAAGAATCTCATGTAATGTTTTGTATAAATAAATTTATTTTAACTGACACATAGAAACATAAGATTGGTCATATTCAGTGGGTTTCATGTAATGTCCCCAGAGTTTAAATCATGTTAACATATCTCTTTGAACATTTACTCTTTCTTTTTGGTGAAGACACTCAGCCTCCTTTTGCATCACTTCTGGAGAAGATTTTCTTTTCTACAAATACATTCACCCCACATGGTTTACAAATCACCATGATATAACAATCTCAGACCAATGTCCACACAAGCCTACGGATCCTTAGAGAGGCCTCTTCTTGAACCTGTGAAATTATGGGTTCTGTTCCCTGACTGCCCAACCCATCTGCCTCTCACTTCTGCGATGACCAAACACTTGAAGAATGGCTAGTGTGAATGAGGAAATGGAGTTTTACATTATTTAAAATATTAATTAAAATAGACCCACATGACTAATATTTTCCTTTGTGGGCAGCAAGGGCTTGGAGGATTTTCCCCAGTATGCAGGAACGAGTTCTCTGGTGGGATGGCCAGATCTTTCCTTATGTAGGGATTTGTAGTCTGATAACCTGATTTGGTTGGATCACATCTTTTGTTAAGGCACAGAGGAATTGCTGCTTGTTAACTAAACCCTCAACTGAGGGAACAAGCATCAGTGTCAAGGTATTTATTTGTAAGAGCTAGCTAGTAACATGCCTAATTTATTGGCCAAGCTTTTATAGTTAATAACAAGTCTCTGTGTGATTATTTGGGAGCTGGCAGGCACATGTGGTTCCCAAGAACCCTCCTGGGGTTATGAGGTGGAGACAGGAGACTCTCTGGAAGCTCATGAGCCCATTAGCCTGGCAGACACAGCAGTGAGTAGGAGAGACCTCACTTCAGACAATGTGGTAGGCAAGGACAGACACTTGAGGTCGTCCTCTGACCTTCACATGTTCTGTGGTACACCTGTGTCCACACCCGCACACAGTTGTGTACACAGGTAAACACACACACACACACACACACACACACCAGCACACAGGTGTACATATATATGAACACACCTACACACAGGTTCACACACATACACATATACATGCATACAAGAACACACCCACACATGCTCACACAGGTATGAACATATATACACAGGTTTGTGCACACTCATGAACACACACGTTTGTACACACAAACACACACATGAATACACAGATGTGCACACACATGAAACCCCTCACACATATACAAACACACACACACACACACACACACACACTCACACACACATACACACACACACAAAGGAGTTTAACTAAACATCAGGCCATCACAAAGTAAAGATGCCCACAGTGACTGATTGATGGCCAGGAGCTAAAGACTACCACACACACACTTTACTTCTAGTAAAAAGAAGTTGTGTTTCTTTGGCAAGGAGGGAGAGTTGTGAAAGGGAGCAGGGGTGGGCTTGTTAAGGTCCTTATTTGCTGGTCTAAGGGAGGAAGAGGTCCATTCTGGATGAGATGCTGTGTTGATGTGAGTGAAACTCAGACCTGGGTGTCTTCATCCAGCATCTTGCAGGCAGGAATGCTGAGGAGCACACAGAGACTCTCAGGGAAGGAAGCAGGCCACACGCCTCTTTGTCAGGAGAGAGAAAGGGGTAGAGATCTCCGTAGTTGCTGAGTTTCCTAGTCTCTGCCCTGTTTCAGACACGGTTGGTATAGTTTTGTCTATGTCTTTGGGGAGTAAAGCTGGTATTTCTTGGGCAGCTTCCGTCCTGGCCTCCAGCTACAAGTCATCACCTCAGCTCTTCACATTCTTCAAGATATCACCAGGGTTAACACAGGTGTGGGCCCTGCAGACAGAAACATTTAAGGCAACAGCAGTAATATCAGTCCCGAGGGAGGAAAGAACCAGAACCAGATGGAGAGTTGATTGAGGGATGATCTGCAGAGACGGCGTCGGCCATTTGCCACGATTTTTATTAACAATTATGAGAATTCTTTTAGTTTTTGCCATTTACCTCCTTTTGCAGACTGAATCCAGTAATAGTTTGGAAGCATTTCTTCTTTTCTCCTGGTAGATGTGGTTAGGAGATCATTTAATAGTAATGGTTTTCAGAATAATTGGACCACAAACTGCTGGTAAAACTGTATCTCTCTTTTGTCTGTGTAGCTTCTTTCATTGTTGGTGCCCCAAGACATTAAATTGTTGAAGAAAACCTGGGGATTAATTTGGCTAGATTGCTTAGAAATGGCATTGAAAAAAAAAAAGAATGCCCCAAGACATTAAATTGTTGAAGAAAACCTGGGGATTAATTTGGCTAGATTAATTTGGCTATATTAGAAATGGCATTGAAAAAAAAAAGAACCACATAAAAGCAAAATATCATGGCCTCTTTCCTTTGATCTGTTTTACTTCTTATTCCATTACTATTTGAGCATATAGTTTTATTCTTCCTATCACTTATGGAAACACCACATGGCAGGCTCCAGGTGACTTCAGGGAAGCCCGAGGTCCTTCCAGTAGGCTGTTATCTTCTAACATCTCCTGACCATTGATTGCATGGTGTGCTTCTGGCTTCTATTTCCTGGCATGGCTCACCTTCCTGAAGTCTCTTATCTCTCCAGGCTCTTGGAGAATTTGTGCTGGTGGAAAAAGATATCAGGATTAAGAAGAAAGGGAAAATTTTTAGCCTCAATGAGGGCTACGCCAAGTATTTTGATGCTGCCACCACTGAGTATGTGCAGAAGAAGAAATTCCCTGAGGTGAGTGAAGACAGCCTGGGCCAACAGCAGGGAGCAGGCTGTCTCAGTGGTGTGCTATGCAAAGGACACCTTAGTCTCTTTAAAGGGCTTCATGCCATTGTTTACCGCTCTGGCCTGCATGAGTTTGATGGACTCTGCTCTTCTTCATAAATGATTGATCTTCTTTGTACCTGAAAATTACATATTAAAAAGAATACTCCCCAACCCAGTCCCTCTGGGAATTTGCCAAGGGGCCACATTTTTAAAATTCATTACTTCAGTCAGTCCTAATTTCCAGTCATATGTTTGTTAATCTGTAATCCATAGATTCTGAATACCCAGTTATGTCTGCTTTGAGATGGAATATGATCACATCTGGGAGTCCAATGAACCAGAGGAAGTGATTACTTATGTTGTTCTATCATTAAATAAAACCAAGGAGTCAAATATTGAGATTAAAAACCAGATAGATCTAAAGAGTGATGGAGGAACAACCAGTTGACCCTGACTCTCCACACTTCCACATCAAGAAGGCCCATGAATCTTTCTAAGCCCCTCCCCATTCCTTCCTGTGTCTCTCTATCCTAATCTGGGTACTTCAAGGTTAATTCTGGCCAGCTGAATGCTGACTCCACCCTCTGATTTGAGGTTTAGCTTTATTGGCAGCCTCAGGAGTGTCAGAGTGTGATCAAAATATCCTACGATAGGAGTCCAATCTGCAGGCGTCATATCAGGGTCCTGGGTTAATTGTGGGTGATCCTGTGCTTATTATTATTGTTTGCGATGCTGGGGCTCCAACTCAGGTTCTTGGATACATTCTGCAAAGGCACTGGAGTGCTGAGCTTCACCCATACCTCCCAACGGTATTATGTGGAGGGAAATGGAAAGAAAAATATCTACCTGCTCAAAATACACAATATATCCTTTGCTCTCCCTCCCTCCCTCCCTCCCTCCTCCCCTCTCTCTCCCCTTCTCTCTCTCTCTCTCTCTCTCTCTCTCTCTCTCTCTCTCTCTCTCTCTCTGTGTGTGTGTGTGTGTGTGTGTGGTTAGGTAAGAAGATACCTTGGATATTATTCACCTGTTTTTCAAGACAGCATCTCTCATTGGTCTGGAGGTTGCCAAGAAGACCAGGCTAGCTGGCCAATGAGTTCCAGGAATCTAGTCATCATTACCCTCTCAGCACTAGGATTACAAGCAGGTATCCCCACACCCCACTCTTTAATGTGTATTTTTTGGAACTGAACTTCTGCATGCAAGCACTTGGCCATTTAACTATCTTCCCTGTTTTGCACAGTCTTTGGCTTTTGAACAATTTTGAAAAATGATTATTTTTATTTCATGTTTGTGGGTGTTTGGCCTGCATGTATGTCTGTGTGCCACTTGCACACCTTGTGCTGATGGAAGACAGAAAAGGGCATTGGATTCCCTGGAACTGGAGTTGCAGACAGTGGTGAGCTGCCACCTGGGAGCTAGGAATGGAACTGAAGTCATCTGGAAGAGCAGCCAGCACTCTTAACCACTGAGCCATCTGTCCAGTCCCAGGAATGCAGAGGCCATGCCAGTTTGGCTTCTAACCCTGGCATGGTGCAGGCTAGCTGCTAAGCCTGTTGATTCTTATCTCTTCCCTTTTTTGTCCTATAGGATGGCAGTGCACCTTATGGGGCCAGGTATGTGGGCTCCATGGTGGCTGATGTGCATCGTACCCTGGTCTATGGTGGAATCTTTATGTACCCAGCCAACCAGAAAAGTCCTAAAGGCAAGGTAACTTCCTATGTCCACTGGCTGCCAGGATAGACAGTGAGCTATTGGGATTCTTTTGCCCCAGGCTACTGTTATGGGTTTGTGGCTACTGTTATGGCTGCTGAGCTGCTTTTGGGCACCTGTTTCCTTCAGAGCACAGAGGAAGATAAATAAGGTTTGTTCCTCCTAGTAAGTTTTGAAGTTGTGGTAGGTCTGGGGAAGAAAAGGCTAATGTGGTTATGATGGGCAAGCCTTATGGGTCCTCTGCTCCTCTGGCCTCATGCCCGTTGTTGGTTACAGTCACATGTTCATCTCTCATTTTCTCGAGAGTCACATGCTTTCATAGGCTGTGTCTGATTTTTGCCAGCAGCACTAACTGAACAGGGATCATTGACAACCCCCCTCCCCGCCCCAGGGAATCAATCTACTTCCCAAAGAAACTGTGTTGTAAGCATGGTCTTTGTACTTATTCTTGGAGGGTTTGCATGTGCCCTGAGCACCACACAAGAATTCAGAACAAAACCTTCTCTTTAGAACCCCTTCAATGTCTCTAGAAAGGTAGCTTACAGAAGAGCCAGCAACAGCTTTATGATACAATATTGAAAACAGTCACTATCAAGTAGGAACCTTGTTACCCAAATTCTCCTATCATGGCAAGAACTGTCCACAGAAATGTGTCCAAATTCTGGCCAGCCACAAACGTCCACACCAACAGAAGAGATGTATTATACATCATCCAAGCTGACTGTTGAGATTTTCATTATTGGAATGCCAGAATCAAAGCGAAGAAAACTATCACAGCCTATGAGATGGAATGAAAATTGTCATACACACAGGTTTGTGTATCTGGCATCTTTCTTTGTGAGTGTTTTGCTCACGTCTCCCAACCTGATGACCTCAGGACCATGGAGAAATCTGCATAAGAGGGCCACAGGAAAGGAAAACACAGCAGAGTGTGAAGTGACATAGTGCAGAAGATGTGAAACTCTTGAACAAATCCACACTTGACGCATTCTTAATTCCAGAAGGTAGACCCCAGATATGTTCACTATAATGACTGTAAGAGAGTGCAAAATGTCCACATATAGTTACACAAATGTGTCCTAAACACAGGGGCATTTGTCCAGATGTGTTTGTTGCATCGTGGCCATTATCCGTACTGAAGACACCCTCAGTGCTTGATCTCCATGCTTTAGCTCTTTGTGACCACATTTGTGTGTGCATGAGCATGTACATGTGTACACACATCTATGTCTTGTGTGCTTGACTCCCATGACTGTGGTCGATCTTAAATGCACCATCCCACCAAAAAAAGGAGACCACACCATGAAATTCTGCTCTGAAGGCCAGCAGTGTATAACAGAGGTACCTGAGGTCCTCACCCACAAAAGGGCTTTATGTGCTAATATGGAGCTTTTAGAATGTATCTGAATTGACAAACTGGTTACAGTCTGACTTACAGCCCAACATCTAAATCCTCTTTCCTGTCCTCAAGTCCCCAAGACAAAGGAAGGGAGGAGGAAAAGAGAAAACCCTAGAAGCACCTATGGTGAAGATCTCCCTGGCTGAACTGTCAGTACGGAGTGTGCTGCCCAGTGTCCCTCTAGGGGATGATTAGGGACAAAATAGCTCCCAATTAGTTCTTCTCTGTCTTCCTTCAGGTGCCTGCTACTGTGAGGGACTCTGGTGAAGGCATCTTAAGTGTTGGGTTAACACATTGGTCATTTCCCCTGGAGTCTGATCCTGCTGTCTCTTGAATGTCTGGCCCTTCAGCCTAGACTGAAGACATTTTGTTCATATCCTTGAGACAGAAGCAGCAGCACCAATGATAATAAATAAACAAAAGCCAGAAAACAAAAAAATGAAAAACCAAGCAGGTAGAATAGACACAGATGTCTCCAGACAGATGATACATTGCTTTGGACTCACCTGGTCAGTGGTGCCTCATGAGAGGTTACCAGCCCCACGGCACCCGAGAGGGAGAGGTGGATACCAGTCCATGGTACCCACCTGACACTCAGGCATCAGGCTCCTGTGGGGCTGATGGCTCAAGGAATACCCATGCTCAGAAGTCACACAGACAGCTCAGCTGTTCACACTGCTCTCAGTATTTAGGGGCATGCCTTGGGCTGTCTGTCCACTTTAAAAATGTGTACACTTGTCCTCATTTTTTTCTGCAGCTCCGGCTCCTGTATGAATGCAACCCTGTGGCCTATATTATTGAGCAGGCAGGAGGCATGGCAACCACAGGCACCCAGCCTGTACTGGATGTGAAGCCTGAGACTATTCACCAGCGAGTTCCCCTCATTTTAGGGTCCCCAGAGGATGTACAAGAATACCTCACCTGTGTGCAGAGAAACCAGGCAGGCAGGTAGTGAGCCTGGACTCATAAGCTCACTTCTCTTTGCCTTATACTCTGTTGTATGAAGGATTAGGTGAAGGATCACTGGAGATGGCAGGAAAGGCAAGTGAATCAAGTTTGCCAGGTCACTTTCAGAACATCACCCTGCTGCTAAGGGCAGGTTTAGAAGCCAGAGGTAAAGATACGGCCAAAGGGCCAAAATAAAAACACGAATGTGAAAAAAATTCCTGTTCTGGGTCTTCTGTCTTGGACAACATAAATTTTAGAAGCCAGAGGTAAAGATACGGCCAAAGGGCCAAAATAAAAACACGGATGTGAAAAAAATTCCTGTCCTGGGTCTTCTGTCATGGACAACATAAACGGGCAAAATAGGACTGTGCCTTCCCATCTTCTGGCTCATATCCAGCATCTATCCTTCCACCCAAGGGTAAAAGGCACATGATCAGTTAAGGAGTGCCATGAAGTTCCTCGGCCCACATACATCGTGCCTGCATACACACATGTATGTGCTGATTGTTAGTAAAGATTTTGTGTTTTATTTTGAGTTAGGAATCTCAGGAATCTCAGACGTTGAATTTCTCATTGAGCTCTTTTCAGTCTGTGAATTGGATGACAAGAAACCACATAGAAAATGTGGTTACCCTTTGGCAAAGTCAGATGTAACGTGGAGTTCATACTTAGAACTGAATGCTTGCAAGTTTTAATTTTTGCATGTTCATTTTTGGGAAGGATTTTAAGAGGCCCTAGAGTCTAACACAAAAGAGCTAGTCAAATGGTTCCACCCTTGTGTCAAGACTAAACAAATATTATATGCCTCTACATATCAGCTTGTTTGATTGCATGTATATAAACTTGGGATACACACACACACACACACACACACACACACACACACACACACACACACACACAGACAGACAGAGAGAGAGAGAGAGAGAACAATTAAATTTGTATAAAATATTTGCAAGTACACACTGAAGTGATTTAGCATTTTCAGACCATGATAGGTGAAATCCTGGGAAGAAAATCCAATTGAGGTGTAATTCTGACTTAATAACTAGGAGAGCCACCTGCTCTTTCTCCTAGAATATCAGTACCACACTTGCTTCCATCTTCAAGATGAATTACATGTTTGATCACAAGAATTCACTAGACAAAAACAGGAAAAAGCCAACTTAATTTTTATTTATTTATTTATTTATTTATTTATTTATTTTGTTTGTTTGTTTTTCAAGACAGGTTCATTCTGTAGTCCTGGCTGTCCTGGAACTCGCTCTGTAGACCAGGTTGGCCTCTGTCATGAGAAATTCCACTGAGCACTGCATCTGGCTTGAATTCTGGAGTGTTAGCATTTAGGCTTTGAACTACTTTTTGTGATCATTACCTTTGTTTGAAGTGCTTGATTCTTATCTGAGTACTTCACAAAGGATCCTAGTGTCTTTGAAAATTTAATTAAGAGAATATTTGGCAAATCAAGAGATTTCATGACTGAAAATTACTTAGGCAAATTGTTCCTTCAAATAGCTCCAGATAAGAGGTTTTGGACTTGCTAAGAGGTGTAAATTATGTAACAATAAAAAGGCCTTTTGCAAAGCCAGGGCAGTCTTGATCAAAAACTGGCTCTCCTGCTGCTTTGCTAAGCCTAAATTTATCCTAGACTGGCCCATTTTCTTCCATGGACCCACACAAAACAGAACACTTACAGGCCTTGAACTCTACTTGCCTCCCTAGTGCTGGGATTAAAGGCATGCACCACAATCACCCAGCAATTTTATTTTATTTTTAAGGATCTAATTTTGTACATATTTTTGGAAATGAAAAATCAGAACTCTTTTTCTCTAGTAAAACAGCAAGCAGCTTTACTGAGCAAATGTCACAGCTTCACACCACCCCATGTATGGAACTTCAGTGACCATAAGGCAGATGCTGGTCTGTGAAGGTGAAGCCCTCCTCTGTCCATGCCATCCCCAGCTTGCTTATTCCTTCCTGCTGTCTAGAAGCTCACAAACAAGGTACCAAGCATTTGAAGCAATTCCATGGTGGTTTCTCTGGTCCATGGCCAATTTTATGTAGTCCAGGAAGATGTGGTACTGTGGCTGTAGCAGAGAATCCTGTATCTTTCATGCAACAGGAAGTCAACTAGCACACTGGACAGTATCCTGACCATAGGAAATCCCAAAGCCTGCCCACAGTGACACACTTCCTCTAATAAGGCCACAACCATTCCATCAAAGCCACACCTCCTAACAGTACCACTCTCTGATATTGTGGGGGCCAATTACATTCAAACTATGACACCACTTAACACAAATAATTGCCACAAACGATTTGTAAGTATATTTTATTACAGAGGGAAGAGGAAGAGGAAGAGGAAGAAAACAGAACAGCAACCTTAATGCAGTTATATCATTTAGACACAGATCCAGAAGCTGTTTTAACAGATTGAAAATGGGCAGAGGGTCAACTCCTGAATACCAATTGTTATCTCAAAGAGGACTGTCAAAACCACTGCTGAGTGAGGACAGGGCATCTCCCACTCACATGCAATGCAATGGTGCAAGTTCCACTGCACTACTGCAAACCATGATAGAATCTTAATGTTATGATCACACACTGATAGTTTGGGATGAAGCTTCTGGGATAAAAGTCCTTCTGGAATTTGAATCTTAAATATTTTCCAATTCCCCTTATTAATATAGATGCAAAAATAGTGGAGAGGCTAACTTTTACATGCCCTTCCCCTGTAATGAGAAGGATGACTACCTTAAATGCCATCCTAGAGCCTCAGCTGATGGAAGCAGAAGCAGACATCCACAGCTAAGCACTGATCCAAACTCCTGGAATCCAATTGTAGAGAGGGAGGAGTGATGAGCAAAGGAGTTAAGACCATGCTGGGGAAACTCACAGAAACAGCTGACCTGAGCAAGCTCATGGACCCCAGTCTGTCAGCTGGGGAACTAGCATAGGACCAAACCAGGCCCCCTGAACATGGGTGTCAGCTAAGAGGACTGGGCAGTATACAGGGCCTCTGGTAGTGGATCAGTATTTATCCCTAGTGCAAAAATGGACTTTGGGAGCCTATTCCCCATGGAGGTATACTCTCTTAGCCTACATACACAGGGGAGGGCCTAGGCCCTGTCCCAAATGATAGACTTTGATGATCCCTCATGGAAGGCCTCAACCTCTCTGGGGAGTGGATGGGGGAATGGGATGGGGGATCAGTGGGGGCATAGGAGGATGGGAGGGAGAGGGAACTGGGATTAATATGTAAAATAAGTTTGTTTCTAATTTAAATAAAATTTATAGTAAATAATATAGATGCAAAATTACCCAACAAAATACTTGCAAACTGAATCCAAGAACACATAAAAAAGACCATCCACCTTGATCAAACTGGCTTTATTCTAGAGATATAGGCATGGTTGAACATATGAAAATCAGTCAATGTAATTCACTATATAAACAAATGGAAAGAAAAACCACATAATCATCTCATTACATGCTAAAAAGCCTTTGTCAAAATCCAATACCCCTTCATGATAAAAGTCTTGGAGAGAATAGGGATACAAGGGACATTATCTAAGCATAATGAAGGCGATTTACAGCAAGCCTACAGCCAATATAAAATTAAATGGAGAGAAACTCAAAGCTATTCCACTAAAATCAGGAACAAGATAAGGCAGTTCATCTCTCCATATCTATTCCATGTAGTGATCAAAGTTCTAGCTTCAGCAATAAGATAACTAAAAGAGATCAAGGGGGATACAAATTGGAAAGGAAGAATTCAAAGTATCATTATTTGCAGACGATATGGCAGTATACATAAGTGACCCCAGAAAGTCTATCAGGGAACTCCCACAACTGATAAACACTTTCAGAAATGTGGCTGGGTACAATATTGACTCAAAAAAATTCAGTAATCCTCCCAAATACAAATGACAAATGGGCGGGGCGTTGGTGGCTCACACCTTTAGTCCCAGCACTCAGGAGGCAGAGGCAGGGGGATCTCTGTGAGTTGAAGACCAGCCTGGTCTACAAGAGCGAGTTCCAGGACAGCCTCCAAAGCCACAGAGAAAACCTGTCTCAACCCCCCCAAAAAAAACCCAAAACAACAACAACAACAAAACAAACAAAAAACAAATGACAACAACAACAACAACAACAACAACAACAACAACAAAACAAACAAAAAACAAATGACAAATGACTGAGAAATAAATCAGGGAAACAACACATACCGTCTGGTCTGTTCACCCCCCCCCCAAGTATCCTGCCTCCTTACAACGCTGAAATAGCAAATGAACTCCAACATGGCTTTGGGGTTGAACATTCTTCATCCCTTCACCCCATCCTCCAGCTCTCAATACCTGCCTCACACAGGCTGGAATTCTATCTCAACACCTGGAGTCCCACTCAATTGCTGACCCAGCCAACCAAAGCAAGGGCAGGAGATGGAGGCAGAGCTGTGGATCTAGAAAGTCTAGATTTTACTGAGTGAATCGGACGCAGCTGAACCAGATCCCTCTGCCTAGTCAACCTCTGAAGAGCTGAGTCTGTTGAGTTCACCTGTTCAGTTGTAGACTTCTCAGGTAAGTGCTTCAAGCTAGTCGGTGTTGCTGGATTTTCTTGTCCTGCGAGGTCCCGCTAGGTCCCGCCACCGCTTGAGCCCCAAATAAGTACACAAAGACTATTATTAATTATCAAACCGTTGGCAGATGACTCGGGCTTCTTATTGGCTAGCTCTCTCTAAATTATTAACCCATATCTGTTAATCTATGAATTGCCTCAAGGCTGTGGCTAACCCGTAATCTAGCAAGTTACTCCTTTGGCAGCATGACATCTCTACTGTGCCTCTCTCCCCAGCATTCTTCTCTTCCTCTAGCTCCGCCTATCTTTCTGCCTGGCCAATCAGTGTTTTATTCATCAACCAATAAGAGAAACATATATACAGAACATCCCCCATCAAGTTGGGGCACTTTAGGGACTGAGAAGAAGACTAGACCCTCGCAAGGA